TTAATAAAAATTCTTGAATTTTATAATCTAAAAAAGGAATATATCCTAAGAAACCCAAGACAGCAATCAGAAAGAATATATGCACTCCTATGTTTATAATAGCATTTATTTACAATAGCTAAGATTTGGAAACAGCCCAAGTGCCCATCAGCAGAGGAGTGGATAAAAGAGCTGTGATACATTTACACAATGGAATACTATGTGGCAGTAAAAAAGAAGGAACTCTTACCCTTTGCAACAGCATAGATGGACCTGACGAGTATTATGCTAAATGAAATAAGCCAGTCAGAGAAAGATAAGATCACATGATCTCAGTCATATGTGGAATTTAATGAATAAAATAGATCCAGAGACAAAGAAGCATGGAACAGACTGACGAATTTCAGAGGGAAGGCAGGGATGGTTGGGGAGAGATTATCGGGGGAACTTATATGCATACTAGAGGCCCAATGCACAAAAATTCATGCAAGAGTAGGCCTTCCTTCCCCCAGCTGCCGGCACCGGCTTCCCTCCTGCACCCAGGACCCGGGCTGCTTCCTTTCAGCCGCTGCCGCCAGGCAACCGGGACCTGGGCTTCGGTCCGGCCCTGGCTTCATCCAGAAGGACATTCGGTCTAATTAGCATATTACCCTTTTATTATTATAAACTAGAGGCCCGATGTACAAAGATTCATGCAAGAGTGGGCCTTCCTGCCCTAATCGGTTTGGCTCAGTGGATAGAGCGTCGGTCTGCAGACTGAAGGGTCTCAGGTTCAATTCCGGTCAAGGGCATGTACCTTGGTTGTAGACACATCCCCAGTAGGGGGTATGCAGGAGGCAGCTGATCGATGTTTCTCTCTCATCAATGTTTCTAACTCTCTATTCCTCTCCCTTCCTTTCTGTAAAAAATCAATACAAAAAAAAAAAAAAGAATGGGCCTTCCTTCCCCTGGCTGCCGACACTGCCATTGCTCCAGCCTGGAGCCGCCTTTCCACCTTCCCACACTGCCCAGAGGCCCAGAGTGGCTGGGGCGGTGCAGAATGCCTGCATCATAGCCATGGCGACGACACAAGCATCCCCCGCCCCGCTGCCCCTGGCCACGCAGTGCCTGTGTATGCAAATTAACCCACCAGCTTTGTTGAGTTAATTTGCATACTCACTCCTGATTGGCTGGTGGGCGTTGTGAGGATACGATCAATTTGCATCTTTCTCTTTTATTAGTGTAGATATGCACAGCCCATGGACACAGACAATAGTGTGGTAAAGACCTGGGAGGGGTGGGTGTGGGGTGGAGAGGGTTAATGGGGAAGAAAAGGGGGACATCTGTAATACTTTCAACAATACAGATAAATTTAATAGAAAGTATACCAATATTAAACTAATCATAATGTCATGTGTTAAAATGCTATTCCAGGGGTGTGAATAAAACATCATCAGAAGAAGACGATTTGATTCATTTTGTACCTTGGAAAAACAGATAAGAAGAGGTCATAAGAGGCTCTTTACAGGATGAGACTTTGTATCTGAGTGAGGCTTTGAAGGATCAAGATTTTGTCATGTCAAGACTGAGGAAAAGGCATTCCTGATAGATAGTAAAACAAACTATATGTAAGTGTTCTTAAAATAGAGCCTGATAAGCTAATGTTCAGTAAATTAATGAGCAGACATATTGCATGAAATGATCAAGGAAAGATGAGTGGCTAGATGAAAGGGGATTGGAGTAGGGGTGTTAAATGCCATGAAAGAAAGACTAAAACAGTTCAAACATCAACCTATCTATGTTGCTCTTCCGTTTAAACTCAATCCTTTTCCACTACTGTGCTATTGTAGGAGCCTCCCTCCCAAATTCTTAGCTTAATCTCTAAATTCTATCTGTGGCGTTTCCAGGATGGAGCTTTCAGAAATACAGATCTGATTATATTTTTCTCCTTCCCACATTTCAGTGCTCCTCATGGCATTCATCTCCCAATTTATAATTCCTGTCCATAAGATCTTAAACTCCCAAAAGGATTAATTTGCAACTAATTTATTTTATTAAAATAGCTTCTAAACAAAATTTAGCTAATTTATATTATTAAGAGATCAGGGAAATAAATAAAGTGAGGTCACAAACCATAATCATTCACTTCTGTGAATTCAAAAGGTTTGATGCAAAATTTAAGGATTATATACAATTAAGCTAAACATACTTAAATACGTAAAATATAGCACATATGGTTCAAGTGACACAAAATCTTTAAAACATTGCTGTCGGTATAGAATCTTCCCTGGATATACTAAAAAAAACCCAAAAAAACTGTCCTCTCTCAACCCCCATGTAGTAGTAAAACCTCAATCAAGAATTTAATGACAGCTCTAACTGGTTTGGCTCAGTGGATAGAGCGTCAGCCTGCAGACTGAAAGGTCCCAGTTTCGATTCCGGTCAAGGGCATGTACCTTGGTTGCGGGCACATCCCCAGTAGGAGGTGTGCAGGAGGCAGCTGAGTGATGTTTCTCTCTTATCAATGTTTCTAACTCTCTATCCCTCTCCCTTCCTCTCTGTAAAAGAATCAATAAAATAAAATTAAAAAAAGAATTTAATGACAGACTTGTTTAATGACTACAGTTCTGAGTAAACTGAAAATCTGCAATTATCATACTGTTAATTGGACATTTGCTTTTTAAAGACTAAGACAGGTTAAAATAGCATTTTATATATGTAAAAAAGATTCCTTGGAATTATATAATTACAGTTACCACATCTTCCTATTCCTTTGGTGTATTTCCAGGGAACAATTTTGTTCTTTATTTTAAGATATATGGTTCTGGGCCAGAAAGCACTCTGGATTTAGAATGAGAAAACTTAATGTTAAGTCCTGCTTTACTCTGCTACTTATTAAATAGGTCAAATCATTATCTTCTCCTAGCATCTTCTGTATGAAAAAAAAACCTGAGTTAATAATACCTTAATTACTTCACAGGGTTATTTGCAAAATGTATGTATGAAATCATTCCAGCTTTAAACAATCATTGGTCACTATTTAATAAACTCCTAAAAAGCACAGTTATTTCTGTACCATCTCAATATTAAAATTCTTTCTACTTTTGAAGATGGGGAACAAGATTTAGGGAATTAACAACTATTACTTTTCATCCTTCTATTGTTAGGAGAACCAATAGGGAAGCAGGAGAAAATATGCTCAGACGAACCCTTGGCAAACCACCAGTTCATCCCTGGAAGGAGATCTGAGAGAATGTGTAGTGTCTGGTGACACTAAGTGAGAAGCCCTCAATGAGCCATTATCTCTAAGAGCAGAAACAGGGCAAAAGGATAGATACTAAGTTATTCATGCGATCTATGTGCCCCCTTGATTTCTCAGGAATCTTACCCCTAGATTAGCTGTCTTTTGAAAACAGACGATGAAAAACAATAGCAGCTGGCAACCTTTTTTCCCTTAATGCAAAAATATATTTAACTTGGGTGGTATCATGTAATTAATGAATTTACTCATTAACAAACAAAATTAACACAAATGTTATCATCTAAATCTACTTTACTATTTATACAACTTAATAATTTCAAAATATCACTGGTCAATTAAAATTTTCAAATTCTGAATGTGAAAAATAGCCTACCATTTATTCTAAGCTGCACTCAGAAACCCTTCATATTACCTTTGTCTCAAAATGATCTGGACAAAGTCTATTTATATGTCACTTTCATTTTACTTCCTAAATATATAAACTGAAACAATAGATAGTTCTGATTTATAACTTTTTAAAAAACTAAAGGAAACCAAACTTACTGAAATTCCTAATCATTTCATGTATTTTTAAATGATTAAAAATTCTCCAATAAATATACTGATGTCATTATTGTTACTGCATAAAAACAAAGTGTTCTCTGCAAGAGAACACCTTACAGTACTCAACACAAAAACTTAAGGAAATAAACTCGACTTTTGACCCTACAGCCTAAGTCACAACATTTCTCATCAGAATGATTAATTTTTACAAAAAGACAGGAAAACAAGACACAGCCACCCACTTTGATATTCTCATTCTTTGAAAAAAAAAAATCCCAATTGAGCTCATGAACTGGAACCATCATTTTGCAAAAAGTATGTGATCCATCGAGAGTACATTTTGATTATAAGATTAACAAGATCATTATCTTTCTTATTCTTTGCACCGAGAAAACTGTACTGACATTAAAAAGTGGTTCTAGCTTAGTTTTACTTAGAAATCTGATAAACTTTTGCCCAGGAACCAACTAACCTTTAGTAACAAGGTTACTTCATTTTTTTCCTTTTCTGGTTACTTGAAAACATATAAACAACAAAATATAACTTTTAAAAAACCTACTCCATTGATACAGAACTCATTTTTGTGCAGCCTTGCTATATCCATTGAGTAGAGAATGGAGACTATGTGTTTTTCAGTTAAGATATTAAGCAAGATATTAAGCATCCTACAGCTCTTGTAAGCCAGTCTCGTGTGTGTGTATGTGTGTGTGTGTGCATTTGTGTCCTGCTCAAGCACCTGTGTGACTGCTTAAGTAGTGAAGCAAAAGGATCATTTTAGACACATGGAGAGGGAGAGAAAAAAGTGTGAATAAGCAGGAAGAGATTTTTTTTTTCTGCAGGCTCAGGAAGTCTGCTGTTGGCTATGAGTAAAAGCTTTAATCTAAAAGGAGCCAAAATTTGAGATAATTCTTAAAGATTTGGGTTTTATGCCTTTGTGTCATTATTTTTCCCTCTTACTTTTGAATAACTTAGGTGGGGAGTAAATCAGCTCTAACCTTGAGAAAACTTTGCTCTAGAGGAAAGAAGAGAGCATTACATTAATTATTCAAGGTGAGTTATGAGAAGGACAAGAGTCATTCAAAAAACAGGGTGGGATGAAAATAGGGAAGGAATATGGGAGGGGAGGGCAAGAAGAGGGAAAAGGACAGGAAAGCAAAAGAAAGAGGGTGCTGAGAAAGTAGTTTGGAAACTAAATTGATAAAAAAACCAACTTGTCCATTTAACATAATTCACTTACCTGTGTTATTTTTTCTATTCCTTGAAAGTTGTGCTTTTCAAAATGTTCTGCTATATTTAGGAAGGTGTGACATTGTAGGTAGCAGCAATTACTTAGGACTATCAAAAGTTGTTGTTCCTAAAAGTAAAACAAATTTTTATAAAATTACATTTATATTAACAAATTTAAAGTCTAATAGTTACCATTAAACTTAATTATAATCTCTTGGTGTTTAATATCAATATTCAACATTTCGGTTTCCTTGACTCCTTCTTTCCCAATATTAACACAGAGAGAAACATTAATACAATTCTATAATTTTCATTGCTCATGATTATATAATACAGATTCAAATAATGTTCCTTTTGAAATTTAACAGCTACAGAGAGAAATAGGCTGATGAAAAACAGTTAACTAAAGTAGAATCAGCTGTAGTTCAAATAAAAGGGATTCATGTTATTAGTTATTCTACTTAATACTTTGTGCACAAAAAGCTAAAAATGGATATTTTTAAGCTATTACAAAAACTGTGGAAACTCTTAGAAAATAGTTTATAAGAAAATTATAATACAATCCATATGAGGGCTCTTTTAAAAACGTGGAACTTCACAGAATTTTTTATGTACGACAGTCTCCCTCTTTTGGGGAGTGAAGGCACACAGGATAGAAGACTCCTGCAGTGTCAGTAACAGAGAGGACTAGAGCCCTATATTCTATACTCACCAGAGTTGTAGCTGTTTAAAGTCATTTCTAATCAAAATTACAGACCCCAATGCTGATAAATAAACCATCTTTTACTGTTCAGAAGAACTATTTTTGTAAATAAAATTCCAGGAATGGTATTTGTCACTGCTATTGAGGCTCACAGAGAGCACTTTCCCGGTGCTCCCTCAGTTATAAGAGCATTATCTGGACAAATGTGACTAATTTAGGGCCTTAGTTTAAGATCTCTTGACTAAAAACGAAGGCAAAAACCACTTTCCAGGAAAAGTGCTCACCCAAATTTGTTTCCTATTTCATATGTAATCAGAATAGCTTATGTTAGTCAATATGATAAACATGGAAATAGGCCTCTGTCCTTTGACGTATACAAACCACAGAATAAACTTTTTTTCCATATTATTTTGTGTGGGTTTTTTGTTTGTTTTTTTTCTTTATTGATTAAGGTATTATATATGTGTCCTTATCTCTCCATTGCCCCCCACCCCCACTCATGCTTTCACCCCCCTGTTGTCTGTGTCCATTGGTTAGGCTTATATGCATGCATACAAGTCCTTTGGTTGATCTCTCCCCGCCTTACCCCCACCCGCCCCTCTTTAAACTCACTTGCCAAGCACAAATTATATCTCCCAATAATTTCATTTGGGCCCCTCAAATTTTTAAAAACTTTCTAAATTTTAAAAATGTTTATTTAATATGTTCATATACTTAATATGTTCCTCTCTATTTCTGGCGGAGTGTAGTCTAGTCAATGCCTTTTTTGGTCATCAACAAATATAATTAAAAGACCAAGGAATTATTAAGGTACCTTCAAGCAAATGAAACACTGTTAATAGCCCTCATAATCTATAGGTGGGAAATGGAGTACAGAACAAGGTAAAGAGGATTATGGCATGTAAGCTCCTTCCACACTTGTGCTTAAATGACAAGTAAAAATCAGAAAGAGAGCAATGAACAGCTCTGGAAAGGTGCACAGGTGAGGCTGGGAGGCCATATTCCCTATTGCCCCAGACTTGGTGTTACTCTTATGTGGTCCTTGTACATAAAGCACATGAAATAAAGTAAATATGTCTTACCAGCCACTCTAAACATGCTGCACTCCTTGAAATTCTCATCTGGACTCCCATTAATAAATTCAATTCTTAACTGCCTTATCCATCATCTTCCTTCCGAATATTAGCCTTATCTAGGAGTTCATCATACCCATAGTAATTAGCTCTCTTTAGTTGAAGAAAAATGGTTCTTCCCCTCAAATGGAAAAACTATCTGAGTGACCTAAAGCTTTACCCTTAGTGTTTCCCCACTCCCCTCTAATCTAACCAATTAGGAGATCATATATACATATATACACACACACACACACACACACACACACACACACACACACCACGTATTTTGGTTTTGCCATGGAATTTTGTGTTCAAATAAAATGCTATTATGGAACTGACAGAAATAAAATAGAGAAAAGCAGAGTCTCTCTGGTTAAAAAGAAAACATGTGCATGGAACAGGCATCTGTCCTTTGTCTCCTCTCCAACTTTCAAGCACCAGGGACCTACTAGGACACGTAGTTCACACAAGAACATGCAAAATGTGGAGAGTAGAAGGAACTAGTTAAGTTGCAACTTGAGCTAAAAAGATTTTAAGTGTAGAATATATATAAAATTCTATAATTTTTTAACATTTTCACAAAATAAAACACAATGCTACAGCACTAAATGTAGTAGGTAATTTAGATAGATTTTATGAAATAGCCATTAAATAGTTGTTTTGTTGTTGTTGTTTTTTTAAATCCCTCCCCCCACGGACATTGCTTTGTGAGGGGAGAGAGGGGAGGGGAAGTGAGGGGGAGGGGAGGAGAGGGGAGGGGAGGGAACATCTATTGGATGTCTTCTGTACATGCTCCAACCACGGATCAAATCCGCAACCCCAAGTATGTGCCCTGACCAGGAAATGAACCATCAACCCTTCAGTGCACAGGACGATGCTCAACCAACTGAGCCACTCTGGTCCAGCTACATAGTTTTTAAATGACATGTTTCACCCTCTATTTATCATCTTAATTACTTATCATCTTACTTACAGAAGTCAAACTGAAGTCTTCATGAATACTTCCAAATAAATCAGGAGAAGAAACATCAACGGAAAGACTGAATATAAAAGCAAGAAAGAGAACAGTTACAATCAAAGCCCTAAAATTAAAAATGCTAATATAATGTTATATGTCAACTATACCTCAAAAAAAAAAAAGTGAACCTTATGTTAATTTGGCTTTAAAATCTTTTGGTCGGTTCTCTGCATAGTGGGAATTGAGATGGCAGAGTAGGTAGATCCTGAGCTCACCTCCTCCCATGGATACAACAAAACTACAACTAATACACAGAAATAAACACAGGGAGACAGGCAAAATGAGGAGATGGAGAAATGTGTTCTAAACAAAAAAAGGACAAAATCCCAGTTAAAAAACCTAAATGAAATGGTGATTAAGCAGTCTAGCAAATAAATAGTTCAAAATAATGGTTATAGAAATGCTCAATGAATCTGGTTGAAGAATGAATGAACTGAGTGAGAAGTTCGACAAAGAGACCAGGGGAAAAACACACAACCAGAACTAAGAATATAATAACTAAAATGAAAAATATATACCATAGGGAATCAACAGCAGGTTAGCTGCTACAAAAGAAAAAATCATAGATTTGGAAGACAGAGTAGTAAAACATCAACTAATCAGAAGAGCAAAAAGAAAAAAGTTTAATGTATCTCTGGGACAACATCAAGCACACCAGTATTTGCATTGTGAAGAAAAGGGAACCCTCATGTACTATTGGTGGGATTATAAATTGCTGCAGCCACTATAGAAAACAGTATGGCAGTTCCTTAAAAAATTAAAAATAGCCCTAACCAGTTTTGCTCAGTGGATAGAGCGCCGACCTGTGGACTGAAAGGTCCCAGGTTAAATTCCGGTCAAGGGCATGTACCTTGGTTGTGGGCACATCCCCAGTAGGAGGTGTGCAGGAGGCAGCTGATCGATGTTTCTCTCTCATCAATGTCTCTAACTCTCTACCCCTCTCCCTTCCTCTCTGTAAAAAAATCAATAAAATATATTTAAAAAATTAAAAATAAAACAACCATACTACCCAAACTTCCACTCGTGAGTATTAATAAAATAAGTAAATACTTCAAAATCACTATTTCAGAATACATACGTACCCTACCCTATGTTCATTGCAGCATTATTTACAATAGCCAAGAAATAGAAGAACCTATAGATATTTATAGATGCATGAATGGATAAAGATGCTATGTCTCTCTCTCTCTCTCTCTCACACACACACACACACACACACACAGACAGACATAGGAATATTATTCGGCCATTTAAAACAGTGAAATCTTGCCATTTGCAACATGTATAGATGTAGGAGGTACTATACTAAGTGAAATAAGTCAGACAGAGAAAGACAAATACCGTATGATTTTCTTTATATGTGGGATGTAAAAAAGCAAATCAAATGAACAAATAAAACAAACAGACTCATAGATACAGAGAACAAACTGATTGATGTCAGAGGGGAGGGTGACGAGGGAAAGATTAAAAAAGGTGAAGGGGATCAAGAAGTACACACTTCTAGTTATACAATAAATAAGTAACAGGAATGTAATGTACAGCTAAGGGAATATAGTGAATAATATAACTTTGTATGTAACAGATGGTTACTAGAATTATTGTGGTGATCACTTCATAAGGCATATAAGTGCTGAATCACTATGTTCTAACACCTGAAACTAATATTGTATATCAACTGTACTTTAATTTAAAAAATTGATCCTTTGGTGAAAAAAAATCAAATAACTTTCTGTAAGTTTCTAATATTTAACAATCAATAGCTCAAATTAGACACTATAAACCAGGGGTCCTCAAACTTTTTAAACAGGGGGCCAGTTCACTGTCTCTCAGACCGTTGGAGGGCCGGACTATAGTTTAAAAAAAAACTATGAACAAATTCCTATGCACACTGCACAAATCTTATTTTGAAGTAAAAAAACAAAACGGGAGCAAATACAATATTTGTATTTGCATGTGGCCCGCGGGCCATAGTTTGAGGACCCCTACTATAATCTATCTATTACCAAGGGCCATATAATTTTGAGTTTCCTAATCCTGACTTAATTAAATTTAAAAACAAATCACCAAGGGAGAAAATAACTCATAATTTAATTTCTAGGTATAGACTTACATAATTGAAATGACCATGACTATCAGAATCTCCACAAGGCTTTTTCAAGCTCACCTTCAGAGTCAACCATTTATAACTGAGTTGAGTTAGGGAATTAGTTAACAGCTCACAAGTGAAAGATATATAAAATTAAAGGAAAACTAGAAGAATTAAATATTTATTATGTCTCAGAGAGGTGACAGTTTCTATACTGAAAGGCAAAACCCAATACCAGGAAACAGAAAAACAGGAAAAAAATTCTTAATTTTTCTATTATGAATTTACAGGCACTTATTTCAGTATTATGTGTGTCAGAGCATAAATCTTAGGTGCACAAAGTTACACATGGCAATGTCATTCAGAAAAACTAGATTTAAAAAAAATCCTATAGAACAATCTGAAAAATATTTAAAAAATAAAAGCATTATCGCATGGATTTGTAAATATCAAGAATCAAGATCTGTCTTCTGCAGTCCAAATAACTTAAGCCTGACCCAGAATTAATCTCACTAAAATAATTAGTCTTTAACAAGAATATTAGTGAAATCCTCTCCACCAGAATTATAAAAGTTAATGAATAAGTTATATACTTTAATTTTCTACTTTATTATTTATAAAACTTCGTTTGGATAATTACTGAGCTGATCATGTGTTCAGTTTACTCAACACTTCTCTAGTAATGATGAGTTCAGAAGATAAAGAAACTATGGAAAAAACATAGGTCAAATATAGAAAACTATAAATTTCTTATAATAATTTATCTCTCTTATTGGAAATCTTAGTATGTGATAAAAGACCAACTATATAACATCAGTCTGTATTTTCAATCCTCCTAAATGCATGAATGAGATTAATTTTAGTTTTACTTACTGTGTAGTATCTACATCTGCATCAGGCTTGGTGCTCAATTGTTCCAGACAATATATAAAAGTCTAAGTTAAAAAATAAGAAGTTTCAGTGACATGAGCTCTTAGATTCTAATCTATTTGAATATCTTATATAATAAAAGCCTAATATGCAAATTGTTCTCTCAACTGGGAGTTTGACCATGGGTGGGGCCGGCCAGCCAACCGCCCGCGGCCCCTCCCCCTATTTGGCCCTGCCCTGGACAGTGGTGGTGGCAGGCAGCCAGGGGAAGGGAGGCCCAGGCCAGCAGTGGCAGCAGGCAGCTGGGGGAAGCAAGGCCCCAGCTGGTGGCAGGCAGCTGGGGGAATGGAGGCCCTGGCCAGCAGATGGCAGCCGCTAGGGCCCCTACCCGTGCACAGTATTTATGCACTGGGCCTCTAGTTAAAAATAATTTTATCTATAACTAGGAGCCCAGCATGTGATTCGAAAATCACGGTGCGGCCCTGCCTTTACACCCGAACCTGTCCACAAAGAGCTCCAGTGCACCTGGCCCAGCCCCCAGACCCTCTGGCCTTCTCTGGCCACTTCAAGCCCCGCCCCTCAGTCCCTCTAGTCACCTCGGGCTGGTCCCACCTTCTCTGGGTGCCTCCCTGCTTCCGCCCAGTCCCCAGAGCAACTCGGCGGCTCCGCCCCGTCATGGTGCTGGAGGAGAGCATGGAAGCCTCCCACCTGCTGCGCTGTGCTCCTTCCCCTGGCAGGTGGGCCGCGCGGCACTTAGAATGTGAGCGGTGGGTGGCGAAGGACTGGTGAGGGGGGTACTATGGGCTCTCACCCCTGCCCTCCCCAGCACGGGAAGGTCCTGCCTCCTCCGGGCACCTCCCCGCTTCCGCCCTGTCTCCGGAGCAACGCCCCAGCTAATATGTTAAAGACCTGGTCGTTACCCGCTATGGCATATTGACCATTAGCATATTAGCTCTTTATTAGTATAGATAATAAGAGTGTAATATGCTAATTAGACCAAAGAGCTGAACGACCTTCCAGATGTCATTCCGGACATCCTTCTGAATGAAGCTGCGGCAGTGGGGGCCGAGGCAGAGGCGGTTAGGGGCAATAAGGCAGGCAGGCGAGCAGTGAGGGATGATCAGGCAGGCAGGAAAAGGGGTTAGGGGTGATCAGGCAGGCAGGCAGGCGAGCAGTTAGGGGCAATCAGGCAGGCAGGTGAGCAGTTAGGGGCATCAGGAAGGCAGAGTGGTTAGGGGCATCAGGCAGGCAAGCAGAGTGGTTAGGGGTGATCCCTCTTGCAATCCTGGACCACTAGCTCCTAACTGCTCGCTTGCCAGCCTGCCTGATTGCCCCTAACCACCTCTGCCTGCCTGCCTGATCGCCCCTAAATGCTCCCCTGCCAGCCTGATTGCCCTTAACCGCCTGTGCCTCGCCTGGCCACTGCGGCAATGTCCGAAAGGATGTCCGGAATGACGTCCAGAAGGTCGTTTGGCTGTCCGGTCTAATTAGCATAGGTGTACCGGTTAATAATGCAGATTTTTTTCAATAGATGGAGTTACACATATGTTGATATATATGCGATTTGATATGGATGCTATTTTGTTGTATTGACAGCAAGCTTCAAAACTTCATATGTCAAATTTTCTGAAGGTGTTATATTTTTAAGCTTAAAAATGTCAAATTTCATGCCCAAAAAGAGCATTTGCGGGAAGTTTTAATTCATTACTTTATTTTGAAGAAAAAGTTATCGTATACTTTGGGAAGTTTATGCTGAACATGCTCCATCTCAAGATACTTGTGAATGCTGGTTTAAATGCTTTAAAAGTGATGATTTTAATGTGAAAGACAAAGAATGTGCAGGTCAACCGAAAAAGTTTAAAGACCAACAATTACAATCATTATTGGACGAAGATGAGTGTCAAACTCAAAAACAACTTGCAGAAAGATTAAACGTTGCTCAGCAAACAATTTCCAATCGTTTACAAGCAATGGGAAAGATTTTAAAGGAAGGAAAATGAGTGCCACATCAACTGAACGAAAGACAAATGGAAAATGGAAAAGTCATCAGTAAAATGTTGCTTTAATGGCATGAAAGAAAGTCTTTTTTGCATCGAATTGTGACTGGCGATGTAAAGTGGATTTATTTTGAGAATCCCAAACACACAAAATCATGGGTTGATCCAGGTCAACCATCAACATCGACTGCAAGGCCAAATCCCTTCGGAAAGAAGACAATGCTCTGAGTTTGGTGGGATAAGGAAGTATTATGAGCTTCTAAAACCAGGTGAAACCATTAATACTGATCACTACCAACAACAAATAATCAATTTGAACCACGCTTTAATCATAAAACAACCAGAATGGGCCAGAAGACATGGCAAAGTAATTTTGCTTCATGATGATGCACCATCACACACTTCAAAACCAGTTAAAGACACGTTAAAAGATCTTGTCTGGGAAGTATTAACCCACCCGCTGTATTCACCAGACCTTGCTCCTTCAGATTACCACTTGTTCCGATCGATGGCACACACACTTTCTGAGCAGCACTTCAAACGTACGAAGAAGTGGAAAATTGGGTCTCTGAATGGTTTGCCTCAAAACAAGAAAAGTTCTACTGGGACAGTATCCACAAATTACCTGAAAGATGGGGGAAATGTGTAGGCAGCGATGGACATTACTTTGAATAAAGTACTTTTGATGTTTCTCTTGAAATTATCATGTTTTCTTTGATTACAAAATCCGCATTATTAATGGGTACACCTAGTACCTTTTATTAGTATAGATGTTATATATATTCTAAATAAGAGAAGGTTGAAAAATAATTTGCATTATTTCAAGCTCAGGGTACCAGTGTTTGTAGTTATTACCTGCATGATATTGATGCTTAGTTGGCAAACCTCCTCCTGTGTTTTAGGTTGTTGAAAGACCTATAAGGAAGAATTTTGGTGAAAAATTTTATTTTGGACTTAGCTCAAACAAAACTTCTGTTTATGAAGTTCAATATAAAGAGTTAACACGTCGAAAACTGCTTCTAGTGTGTATAACCTTATTCTGAAAAGGGCCATGAATGAAGAGCTGGACTAGGCAGTGTTTCTAATTACAGTGATTTTGCCCTGAGAAGACACTGACATGGAGCAGCTTAACACCACCTAAGTCACTTGTTTTCTCCATAAACAAAGTGTTAACAATGCACGTAGTCTATCTACAACACCTACATTCACATTTTTAACTTCCATTAGCCTCTCTTGGAATCAAGAAAACAACCGCCTCTATATTTAAATGAAATAAAACAAGCCAAGCAGTCAGAGGGAAATGCTCTTGTGCTGAAATGACTCAAAACTTTACAATTGATTGCCAACAGCTCATTGGGAAAGTCTACAACAGAGGTTGACCAGAACAGAAAACTTACACTGGTTTCTCCAGGCTTGCAGTCTAGAACTCCTTTAAGTGATTGCAGAGAATGCACAATGCACTGTTCAAACTGATATGGCTAAAGGAAAAAACACACACACATGTATCTTAAAATTCAAAGCAATCACTGGTTATTAAGACATTGAAAAGAAGTGAGTATGGACAAAAATTCTCAAATTTTCAGATTTATAGAAGGGAACAGAAACACAAACTGACAAATAACCTAGTCATCGAGATTTAGCTTTGCTATGTTTTGCACTTTATATTTAAAAACAGGTGAATCTTGAAATTCTAAAGTTCATCAACTTCAATAAAAACAGAATTCAGGTATAACTAAAATTTTTCTTAAAAATTCTACTCTTCTGAGATGCAAATGATAAAAAGCAGATATAATGCCTTTATATTTTAAATCCTGCTTGCAGGGTACAGTCTGAATGAGCTCCATCTCTTAGATCAGTGATGGCGAACCTTTTGAGCTTGGCGTGTCAGCATTTTGAAAAACCCTAACTTAACTCTGGTGCCGTGTCACATATAGAAATTTTTTGATATTTGCAACCATAGTAAAACAAAGACTTATATTTTTGATATTTATTTTATATATTTAAATGCCATTTAACAAAGAAAAATCAACCAAAAAAATGAGTTCGCGTGTCACCTCTGACATGCGTGTCATAGGTTCGCCATCACTGTCTTAGATCTTCCACATCTCTGGTATTGTTCAAGAAAATTTAATGTTAATAATGATTTGGAAGAGACCAAGATCTTTAACTTAAAAAGCCATTATTGTCATTTTCTACATACATTATATCAGAAAATGAAACTTGAAAAATGCACAACAAATGGTATTCAAGAAAAATTTGAATGAATCCTAACATCTTAGCTTCTAATTGCATTTAAGGTTTTACTTTGTGCTAGGCATTTTCCAGGTGATAGGAATATAAAAGACAGCCAGAGTTCTCAGTAAATGTATATTCTAGGGAGACACTAACCATAAAAGTAAGAATCAACAAAACTCTTACTTTTTGCTAAAACAAGTCAAAAGTACAGAAGACAAGTGCAATCCCAAACTAATTGTCATGAAGTAAATAAGTAGAACTAAGAGGAAAATGGTGATGGAGGGGGATCTGTTCTAAATAGGATGGCTAAAGAAGGCCCCTCTGAGACAGTGAATACATTTCAGCTGAGGATTGAAGAACAAGAGGAACCAGCCTCTAAAAAGAAAAAGGAAGGAGGATGTGAGTTGGGGAGGAGGACAATATGTGCCTAGGCTACCTGGCGGGGCTGAGGAGCCATGGTATATCACAACTACTGAGCATGAGCTTGGAGGGCAAGAGATGAAGCTAAGGTCCAGATTTCATCCAGTGGTGTGGAACTGTGCAAGGCTCAAAGACCAATTAAATCAGCTCTGTGCAAAAATCAGCAGTCGGAACCTCTCCTCAATAGACATTTCAATCATTAAAAGAGTTTTGGGGGAAAAGAAGAAAGAGACACCTGTATATATATACATATATATATATATATATATATATATATATATATATATATATATATATAGTGTGTGTGTGTATGGGGGGGGGGGCGGAGACAAGCTTATTTTCTTATAAAAAGGAACCCAGACTTAATGAAAGCTAAAATAGTGCCTTTAATGCATTTTAATACTACATTTGGCAACTGCCAGAGGGTACCATAAAATACTTAAAAAGCAGAAGTACCAAAAAAAATAGCTAGTGAAGTTTATAGGATGAAATAACAACTGCACAGAGAGTATTTAAAGAGTCAAAATGTTTATTAGATACCTGATTTTATCCATTCAATGTACAAAACTCAAAAGGAATGAAAATCTAAAATGTTAAAATAGTAATAGAATTAAATTCAACATTCAACTGTGGATAAATGTTGAAGTTCACATGTGTGGTTGAGATTTCTTGTATTAAAATATGAACTAGGTTTTCTTATTTTTATTTTATATCTATACTAGAGGCCCGGTGCACAAATTCATGCACCAGTGGGGTCCCTTGGCCTGGCCTGTGGGATGGGGCCGAAACCAGTTCTCCGACATCCCCTGAAGGGTCCCGGATTGTGAGAAGATGCAGGCTAGGGTGAGGTACCCAGTCGATGCATGACTGGGGCCATGGAGGTTGGTCAGCCAGGGAGGGACCGTGGGAGGGCTCCAGGGGTGTCTGGCCTGTCTCGCTTAGTCCCGATCGGCCAGACCCCAGCAGCAAGCTAACCTACCAGTTGGATTCCCCTGGTGGTCAGTGTGCATCATAGCAAGTGGTTGAACAGCCTTAGCATTCATTAGCATATTACGCTTTGATTGGTTGAAAAAACGACTGGATACTTAATATATTAGGCTTTTATATATAGGATAAATACAATAAATGGATAGAGAATACCAAAGATCCCAATGAGTAGTTTCACTTCAATGGAAAGTAAATGATAAACATCTGCTATTTTTTTTTTTCTAAAAGGACATAGTACTATCTCTGTGTCAGTGAATTACCAATTCAGCTGACCAAATGGAATTACCACAAATTATTACAGTTCTTGCTGGGCCGGTGTGGCTCAGGAGTTGAGCTTCGACCCAAGAACCGAGAGGTCACAAGTTTGATTCCTGGTCAGGGCACATGACCAGGTTGCAGACTCAATCCCCAGTAGGGGTGTGCAGAAGGCAGTCGATCAATGTTTCTCTCCCATCGACGTTTCTATCTATCCTTCTCCTTTCCCCTTTCTCTAAAATCAATTAAAATATATTTTAAAAAATAATTTCAGTTCTTCTGGAAAAAGAAAATTATCAGAATTATCCACATTTTAAAAAGGCAGAAAATATTTTCAACAGGAAAAAAAACAAACGGATGCTTTCAAACAGGCTACTTCAGAACACTTACGTGAAGTTCAAATTGAAAAAAATACTTGAGCTGAAAGAATAGTCATAATGAAGCAAAGCTTAATGTTCATTCCTTTAAGGAACATTTTCCCATCCCAGTCACAGGGAAAGAAAAACTTAATCTCATTTCAAACAAACAAGACTGGTATTACAGAAATGTTAATGAAATATAAATTACAGGCATATAATTTAAGTCACTGTTAAGTATAAGAGTTTTAGGTAGTTATGGAAAAAATACTCAAAGCTGGAACCTAGACTTTATTCTAAGCACTGATTCACTTTCTCTCTTAAGTGAGGTCCATGCTGAATAGTTAAAACTGTGCTCAGCTTCATTAAGTCTATCATGTTGGTATGTTTCTTCAACATTTGACTAGAAGGACTGGCTGACCCCACGAGTGTAACTTCCTATGGGTCATTCATCTACAGGTTGTGGTGGGTTTAGTTTTTTGGCTTGTGTGTGTGTGAGATCAAACATGAAGTTAGTTATAAGAGGTTACGGTTTCTTACTATTATACTTAAAATTTAAGTTAACTACAAACAATTTTTATAGTAACCATTTCAAAGCATTTTCAAAGAGGCTTATCTACTCAAACAATCTTAGATGTGGCAGCCATCAGGTAAGCACACACTGGGACCCCAGGTGTGACAGCTATCAGGTAAGCACATTCTGGGCTGTGTGTGCAAGAAACAGTAACCTAAAGAAGGACATACAGCTAATACCTGTTTTATTGCTAAGTTTTGTTTTATTTATGGAAACTTTAAAAAATGTAAGCAGATGCTCATTTTCTCAAATTAAATATATATATTATTTTCATTTCCACAAAACTTATCTGTAACACAAATCAAAAACCAAGCATCAAAGGTAACTTTCTGTCTAATCTGTCTTGGCTTATTTCATCTGCAGTAAGTTTTTCAGTGTATGACAGTCTAATGATCCACTTTAGCCTATATTTCAGATTTTCTGTGATAATTAAGCAGGATAGGGTTCTATGAAATAGCTCTGAAAATATTAAGGCATAACATAAACTGAAGATACTATTCTATTATAGTGGCCTCAGTATTATAGTTATCTAATCTAATAAAAGAGAAACATGGTAATTAGCGTACGACCGCTACCCTTCCCATTGGCTAATCGGGGTGATATGCAAATTAACTGCCAGCCAAGATGGTGGTTAATTTGCATATGCAGGCACCCAGCGGCCTGGGTCCTGGGAACAACCTCGGGACCCAGACCCCTCCTAGCCTGTAGGCCTGCCCATAGGTCCTGAGCAGCTGGGGTCCCAGAAGTCCCCGGCCACTCTGAGCCTAGGGGCGAAAGCGCCAAGCGGATGTTCCTACCCTGTGGCCGCTTTAGCCTGCACAGGCGCCAAGCGGCAGCCTGAGTCCACGCCCCCCAGCTCAGAACCATCACCGGGGTCAAACAGGCCAGTCCAGGCCAGGCCTCCCCGCATGGATCCTGTGGTGAACAGAACAGGCTGCCCCACCAACGATCGCAGGGCGAACAGAACAGGCCTCCCCGGGAACGATCACTGGGCGAAGAGAACAGTCCTCCCCGCTAACGATCACTGGGCGAACAGAACAGGCCTCCCCGCGAACGATCACTGGGCGAATAGAACAGGCCACGCCTCCCTGTGATCCGAGGCGAAGAAGCCGCTCTGCTGACCAGCCTGCACTATGGACCTGTTCCGGTGGGTGGCACAGAGTCCGGGGCCTCTAGCCTGCAGCCATGGGAAGTCTCCCTTTCCCTAGAGTTAGGAGCACCAGCCCAGGTCCAACCAGCACCGGGTCCTGACTGCCAGGGTGAGTTCCTGCAGGCTGGGGTTTGATCCCTAGGCATTAGCAGTAGGAGACCAGTGCCTCTGTTATTGCTGTGTGTCCAGGTTTTAATTGAACAAATGCCCGGTGGTCCCAGGTGCCAGCTTAGCAGAATCTTTTAAGAGGAGAATTCTTTCTGGGTTTCCTCAAATTCCCTCAGCCACTACTCACCCCTCTATAAAGGCACAGAACAAGTGAGGCCCCTTAAATAAAAATCAGAGGTCTCCAGCAATGGTGGGCCTCTCTCATCACAGTCATTTGGACTGGATGGCATTTGAGTATTTATCTAGGCACCATGACAGGGAACACACAAGCTCAAGTCATGATCTCTGCCCTTAAGTAATTCACAATCTTATTAGAGCGAGTGGATGATAAAAGCACAGTAATGACATCAGAATGTAAAGCAACAATACAGAGAGGAAGAGGCAATTGCTAGGATGATTTTCCAACAATTAGTACAAAGAGTATGTGCTGTGAATTAAATAAAAAACATATGTGTGGAAGTAGGTGCTTCATGCGTATGGGATCCCTTCCCTTTTTAAAGGAAACTGAGTTCCATGTGAACTGTGTAATATGCTATGATATCTGAGGCACAGGACAAGGGAGGCCCTAAGTCAGTGGTTCTCAACCTTCCTAATGCTACGACCCTTTAATACAGTTCCTCATGTTGTGGTGACCCCCAACCATAAAATTGTTTTTGTTGCTACTTCATAACTGTAATTTTGCTACTGTTATGAATCATAATGTATATATCTGATATGCTATATGTGTTTTCCGATGGTCACGACCCACAGGTGGAGAACCGCTGCCCTAAGTGTACTATGCTTTGATAATTTGAATCATTCTTTATTGTTCAATGTGATTTATTTCTGCATGCCTGTTTTGTAATAGTTAAATTACTATAATAATACATCTTGCTATAAAATATTACTAGAAGAGCAAATGATCAGGTGACATTTATTGTTATTTTCTATAAATGAACACAATCTCTGGTATGCTAAAGTGGTAGGTATTATAGAAATATTCAGATAGGGAGACCTACAGGCTTGATTACAAGTGAGGATTACTATCACAACCCAAATTTATTGCTTAAAAAAAAAAGCAGGGAGCCAAGTAGAAACTGAATCAAATATAAGCCCTTGAAGGGCAAATGTAAATTGGATAAGCTTTGCTATTACAAGAGCAAGAAGAAAAAATTTAGATGCAAGAATGAGAAGCACATTGCATCTACTCTAAGTTCCTATTAAAGAAAAAGAATGATATAATATGAAAATACTTAATACAGATTGTAAAGAGATTTGTTCAAAGAGGATTTCCTAGAGTAGGTAGTATTTCAGTTAATTTTTTTAAATGTGAAGAGGTTAGCTAGATAAGACAAAGGTGTAGGGGTCCCAAATTGCAGAGGGTGCAGGCGGGGCTGAGGCCCCCCCACCCCCCCCTGCACGAATTTCGTGCACCGGGTCTCTAGTGAATTTATAAATGAAACTCCTTTATATGGGTAGAAAGCTTTGTTCTACAGTGTCCCATTTAATCTTAACTAGCAACACTGTGAAAAAGTGCTCTGCTTCTTTAACTAGGGCAGAGGTTAAGTGGCTTCTTTAAGACTGCAAAGCTATGATATAGCAGAATTCAGGACTGAACCAGACTAGGATTCTAGATCCACTGCAGTACCTGTTCCACTACACCAGTGCTGTCCCACAGAAGTAATAATTTGAGCCAGAAACACAAGCCATGTATACAATTTCAGATTTTCCAGTAACCACATTAAGAGAACTAAAAGAAAAAAACAATTTTAATATAATTTATGTAATGAAATATATCAAAATACTATTTCAACATGTAATAAATATAAAAAGTTGAGATATTTTACATTCTTTCTTTTTGTACTCAGTCCAAGTCTAAGAGCTTTAGTTAGTTAAGTTAAAAATACTCAAAGCTGGAACCTTTGAGGGTATTTTCAAATCTGATGTGTATTTTACATGAGCCACGTTTCAAGTGGCTGCCATACTGGATGGTGCAAGGTCTGCCCATACCTCTTTCCTCTTTTGTATTTAAATACAAATCATTATGAAAAATAGAATAAACCAAATGAATCAAAACAGATCTTTATAAAAAATAATTCCTTTAAAATATAATCACAATGGAATTATTTAAAATAATAAGTTCCCTTAATTTCAACCATGATTTAATTTACAAAAATGTGGAAGCACTGCTGTTCTAAATCACATTGTTACATACAAAGGAAGGTGTACTGTAGATATTTTTATTAACTTAAGAAGGAACCTTGGCCTTTGGAGAAACAGAGGAATAATTTCAACTTGTCAAAAATTCTTCAACTCTCAAAGGAATATTGTCAATAAGAAGTGCAGAAATTCGAGGAAATATAATATTTCATGGGATTATTGCTTCTCAACAACCTGACTAAAAAAAATCATGGGGATATAATGTACAGCACTGGAAATACAGTCAATAACATTGTAATAACTTTGTGGAAAAAATGGTGATAACAGAGAGGGGGAGACACCTGACACGATAAATGATTAAAACTATTTTCAAAGGTATTTGAAAACCTAAAAGTCCCATATGTAAAGAGGATGATCCTTCTGAATGAAGATCACAGCTACCTGGCATGTGTATGCATCTAGAGAACTTCGACGTTGTTGTTTTGGCTCAGAAGTCAGCAACAGCATTTTTTTTTATCCTGCTTTTATGAAAAATTCAAATTGCTGGGTAACTTAGAATTAAGCATAATCTATTAAAAATGCAATGCAAGCAAAAGTAGTAAGTGATACAATGAAAAATGGTTATTCTAAAAAATCTACTTTTTATTAATTTTTAAATATGTGTGGTTCAGCAAAAATGACTCTGAGAAGAAAACTTTAAGAAATTTATATTTCTCTTTCCAGAAACTATTTGGAATTGTAATACAGAAAGCGCATGCTCCATATTAATATAATAAATCATTTATTTTGAATATAATATACACTAATGAGTCATCATTTAAAAGAATTTAAACTTACTAGAGAAGTCAACCCTTCATTATCGACAATCCAGTCTTCCTTTTCAGCTAATTTCTTTATTTCTATAGGAAGAACACACACACACAAGTACTTTTTATTGTGGTTATTTCACTGAACTTTATAGAGATAAAAATCTATGGTTATGGTTTTTAATTGTTTTTTACAGGTTTGTAAAAAATTGGTGAAAGTAGGTACAGAATATAATTCTGGTTAACTCAAGGATTTAAATGTGTATTATTCACTGGATTTTTCTAATAAAACATTAATGTAAGGAAAATTTTTGACTACATAACCCAATTTGGAGAATGCGAGGCTAGGTTTAATAATAACTTTAGATAATCTATTATTTATTCAGCACTCTTGATAATCTTAAACATGTACAAAATAACTATGTAATATTTCCCCCCTAAAATTTCTAATAAACAATTTAGATTCTGTTTTAATCCTTTACATTCCTGACAATGGCAGTCTTATTCTCACTTGGCTAAAGGAATGCCTTTACCATTGCGTCTGTTTCAGGTCCCTGAGAGGAGGAGGTGATGAATTAAGAGGACACTATTCAGTTTCTCACCTGATTCCATTCCCTTTCTGTTTATAGAGTGCATTAGTACGAATTCTGTACTGATAGAAATTAATGATGATAGTCCTGATGATAGATAGTAATGGTTTAGGTCATTTATAACATTTTTGAATTTTTAAAAAAATCTTTAATACCAAAAGAGTAGCTCTGAGACAGCAGGGGGGTGAGGGCATGTGCTGGGTGGTGGGAGTGGCTGGGAAGAGGTCAATGGGGGAAAAAGGAGACTTATGTAATACTTTAAACAATAAAGAACTTTAAAAAAAGAGTAGCTTTATAAAGATAATCTTAATTGTTCTTTTATAATAGTAGGTAAAAATCCCCCAAATTCTAGAAAGTATAAAGAAAATGATCATCACTTATAATTTCTATTTCCTGAAGAACCACTGTTAACAGTCTTTCTTCTGATTTTACATTGATATTTCTAAATTAAACCTTTAAAATACATATCTATATTTTTAATAATGGCATAATACTTTATATACATTTTATATTTTACTTTTTCTACTTAGTATTTGCCTTTTAAAAATAAGGATGTTTTTATGTACGTAAAAATTTTTCAAGTATATTCATCTTTATTTCTGCATGGCTTGGTATCTCAAGTTTTTGAAAAATTACTTTTGAAAGAATTCTATTGAGCAGCATTCTTTAAACAGATGGTCTAAAATATTCAAATTTTCATAAAAGTAATTTCTTGTTTCAAGGATTTGGAAGCTAGAAAGAGGGAGATATTCAGGTAACCATTGTCTAGTAAATGTCATCAATTTTTCTTAACATACCTTCCGCTGTGTGTTGCAATGTGACCATTACACAACGTACTCGGAGATCCAAAATGAGATCCTGGATAGTCTGTAACATGTCATTAGGAATTTCAAGGGCAGTCAGTGATTCATAAGTAAGCCTGTAAAATAAACACAACAAAAAAAAAAAGTGAGTGAGTGGAGTGCAATCACAAAGCAGTCCCTTGTCATCATTTTGGTCATCCTATAATGAATGATTCACCATGGAGCTTAAAAGCTACAATATTATGTTGAAAATAAAGCAAAAGTAAGACCATAAGAGGGATTATAACAGTAACACTAAATTAAACAATAAAGGATGCATATCAAATGTAAGACCAGGAAGGTTTAAGAGACTGCTAGATGACACATGGGAAACAGTGGATGCGAAGGACACAAAGTAAAATTCTTCGTAGAATGTATTAAAAATCATATCACATCATGAGTATTTTTTTTAACAGAAAAAAGATTTATCCTTTTCAGGAAAATGTGTCCATATTTACCTTATGGTCTGTATGACATGAGCGAGCCATTGTCCAGAGAGCTCAGACTTCACCTCCCAGCCTCCATACTGCCTCACTCCACCCTCTGGGATGCTAAGTGGGAGTAGTGCTCCACGGATCAGCTTCACAAGACTCTGCATTACTTCCTGAATCATTTTCTAAACAATAATAAATAAATCGAAGGATTCTGCTTGAGTGATGATGAATATCTTGAACATAAAGTCTTCTACTATGATTGAAAAAAACCTTACCTTGTGAAAAAGTCTACATACTCACCCTTAACTTACCTTAAAATCATTTTGTCTTTGCCTGACATTCTTTGATCTTTCAATCTGGCCTGACTTCTCAGCAGTCTTGAAATTAAAAAACAAACAAACTTTTATTTTTAGAAATAATTTACAAAAATAAGAAATGCTCTAGGGGTTGTATAAAAAAAGTATGAAATCTTATATAATAAAACCCTAATATGCAAATCGACCGAAATATGGCAGAACAACTGGTCACTATGACACACACTGACCACCAGGGGACAGACACTCAACGCAGCAGCTGACCCCTGGTGGTCAGTGCACTCCCACAGAGGGAGCGCAGCTCAGCCAGAAGCTGGGCTCACAGCTGGTGAGCGCAGCGACCACAACGGCGGCGGCAGGAGCCTCTCCAGCCACTGTGGCAGGTGGACATCCCCCATGGTGTCCTGGACTGTGAGAGGGCACGGGCCGGGCTGAGGGAGCCGCCCCTCAGTGCACGAATGTCGTGCACTGGGCCTCTAGTATGATTATTTGTTTAAAAGGAATGTATAAGAAATAATCTAAATTTCTGATTAAAGAGTAACTAATCAGAAAGCCATTTTTATTACAAGAAGAAGTTTTTCATCTTCCTAAAACATTTAAGTACAATTCCCATAAATGAACCTAAGTATTAACTGAGACTACCTTTTTTATAGAAAAATTTCATGTCATTTTCATTAAAAATTTTATATGCTTAGTCTGACCAGCACACTCCATGATTGAGCACCTACCTATGAATCAGGTTACAGTTTGATTCCCGGTGAGGGCAAATGCCCAGGGTTGCGGGCTCGATCCCCAGTGGAAGGCATGCAGGAGGCAGCCAATTGATGATTCTCTCTCATCTTTGATGTTTCTCTCTCTTTCTCCCTCTCCCTTCCTCTACTAAATTAATAAAAATATATTTAAAAAATGTATATGCCTAAACCTAAAAGTATCATACCTATGATAACATTTTCTAAATCATTTCTCACTGACTAGGGTGGAAATAAAAGAAAGAGTAAACTCTGGATTAATATCTAGTAATCTCAGGACATCCATTCCATTCCCTTGACAAATATTTATGAAGTATTATATCTGACATTTTATTTTTTAAAAAATTACAAAGCATTGCTCTTCTTCAGAGGTTTTACAGTTTACCTTAGTAGAAAATCTATTCTAAAATTAATTTTTTACCTGTTTACTAAGAGCCATTATTTTGTCTCATATTTCTCTTCTCCTTAATGTGTAGATGACTACATTGCATTGGTTCAAGAGAAATCTATTCAATTGGATTTCAGTTAACTTTTCATTACCAAAGTTTCTAATAACTAAATATTATTATATAAAATGCCTTTGAAGGGCAGGCATTGGAAACTTTCCAAATAAAGAAGTAGTAACAAAAAATGGTATAATGTAAAAGAAAATTCTCATATCTCATTAACATATGCAAAAGTTATCCTTTAAAGTTAAAGCATTCATGTATTATTGGTTAAAGACAAGTCAAAGTACTTTCATGCTAAGAATAATTGCATTACAAATGATTATATTGACTTGAACTTAATTTTAAAACATAAGTAATGTTATATATATTTTATATATAAGCTAGAAACATAGTGTATAGAGTTGGTTTATATAATGAACATTACCAACATGAATACATGAAAGAAGAGTAAGGACTGCAAATGTTTTCAACAAAAATATCAGACATACTTGATAAAAAGTGGTCAATATACACAGATATACAACTCTTTAAACTCTGATTTACACTTAATTTAAAATTGTATATTAAAATATGCAGCTTTTATCATTTTTCTTTGTAGAAATGCACTTTTACTTTGAAATAACTGAACTTTAGTTTTTGAGAAAAACTAAACCCCAAATTTATTTACTTCAGTAATAATTCAATAAACAAATTCCTAAGGTCATTGTCAAACAACACTCAAAATTTTTTGTATACTGAGATTTAACTCAGAAATTGATGTTTTTTTCCCTTATTTTTTAAAATATATTTTATTGATTTATTACAGAGAGGAAAGGAGAGGGATAGAGAGTCAGAAACATTGATGCGAGAGAAACATTGATCAGCTGCCTCCTGCACGCCCCCCACTGGGGATGTGCCGGCAACCAAGGTACATGCCCTTGACTGGAATTGAACCTGGAACCCTTCAGTCCGCAGGCCAACGCTCTATCCACTGAGCCAAACCAATCAGGGCTTGTCCCTTTATTTTTAAGGCAAATGAGATGTAACTGAAGTACCCTATAGCTACAATGAGAAGTGACTGGAGGGATAGAGGTAGGAGCATGAGCAGCTAGAAGAGTGCTGTGCTAACCCAGGGAAGCAATGACAGTGTCTCAGGCTAAAGGAGGTGCACAAAGGATCCCTGTGGATAGCTTAGTTACAGGCTTCTGAGGCAGAAGTGACTGAACCCAGTCATTCCACTGAGTGTTTCAGTGAGAAAGGAGAGATATAAAGAGTGACTTCCATCTGAGTCATGACCACTCAGGTAAGTCCAAATGGCCCTGTTGTCTGTTAGCCTACTTTCTGTTTCTGTCAGTGTGATGCTCTGATTCAAAACACTACTTGGTGAAAGAGTGGCCCAGGTGTGGAAAAGCAGACACATGGTCCCTGCTTGCTGAGCTAATAAAGAATTATTCTCTAAATGCTGAGTTTTTATCAGGTTTTGGTTTTAAGCACTTATTCTTTTTCCTTTATACTCTCTCACTAATTTATTCTCATAGCTTCAAATATCATTTCTATATAATGCCTTCCTATTTTGGGCTCTGCACCAAACTCCAATGTGTGTGTGGGAGGGAGATATAAGAGGTTCCCCACACCAACAAACAATTCTCCAGATCCCAGCTGTGTGTCCTATAATTCAATTCAATTCTGACCCTACCTGGAGTCATATTCCACAGTTAACAGTTCAGTTCTATAAGACTTACCCTCTCCCCAACACACACACACACACACACACACACACACACACACACACACACACACTTCAGATGCCAATCATAAGCCCAAGTTGTCAACTGACTGCAACTGACTGGGTACAGACTAGAGGTTCCTACTAACCCCTCCTTGGTTCCAATAATTTGTTAGGATGTCTCAGAGAACTCAGATAAATGTGATACTTATTAGACAACCAGTTACTATAAAAGAATATAACTCAGAAACAGACAGATGAAAATGATGCACAGGGCAAGGTATGGAGAAAGGATGCAGAGCTTCCATGCCCTCTCTGAGCAGGCCACACTCCCAGAATCTCCATGTGTTCACCAACCTGAAGCTCTCTGAACCCTTCCTTTTGGGGTTTTATGAAAGCTCTGTTGATCACTGGCCACAGGTGATTAAGCTCAGTCTCCACCTACTTAGGAGGTCTGGGGTGAAAGTTCCAACCATCTAATCACATGGTTGGTGTCTGGGCAATGAGTACCTCATCCTTAGGTGGGGACCTAAGCCACCTCAATAACATAACAAAAGATACCTTTATTAGTCCTCACTTCAGAAATTCCAAGGGTTTTAAGAGCTCTTTGCCAGGATGAAGACCAAATAGATATTTATTATAAACTAGAGGCCTGATGCATGAAATTCGTGCAAGAGTAGGCCTTCCTTCCCCCAGCTGCCAGCACCGGCTTCCCTCTGGCATCCAGGACCCAGGCTTCCCTCGCAGCCCCAGCTTTGTCTGGAAGGACGTCCGGTCTAATTAGCATATTATGCTTTTATCATTATAGATTATATCTCACACTTTCAAATTTATATATATAGCCCAAATCTTTCTTCTGACAATTTGAATTTCTGATTTCCTATTTGAATAAATCACAGGAATTTCAAATGCAAAACATTAAAATAAAAAACTGATATTTTCCTCCAGGTATGTTCTTTCTCAAATCTTTCTGACTATACAAACGGCATACCTATTCACTTGGGAGCCTGTGGGAGCTGTATCTGAATCCCTGTCCTCGTCAACCTCATGTGATCCATCAGTAAGTCCAGTTAACCCTACTTCCAAAATACAAATAAAATCTGTAATTTTCTTTTCAACTTTACCAACAAAACCTTAATACAACCACTGTTTCCTGGCTGGATGGCCTCAAGAGCATCCCCACCTTGACTTCTGGCCCTGCCAACTCATTCTTGAGAAGGCAACCAGAGTGGTCCTTTTAAAATTGAAAAACTTGGTCAGGTAACTCCACCACTTAATGTTTTTCCATGGCTTCCCACAGCACCTAGAATACAAACTCTTTACCCTGCCAGCTCCTCTACCTCAGCTCTTGCTTCTCTTGGTAAACTCGCCCACTGTTGAGTATACTCTGGATGCTGTGACTTTCTTTTGCCAAGCTCCTGTCCTCAGTTTTGTGTGTGCTGCTCTCTCTGTGCATTCTTCCCCTGATCCTTTGTGAGGCTGTTTCCTCCTCATGTTTGAAGTTTCAGTTTCAATATCATCTCCTCAGAGACCTTCCTTGATCTCCATATCATCGCATGTTCTTTAACTTAAGACTCTATTTGTTTCTATTATAGATGTTACAAAAATTTAGGATGGAGGAGAGAGGTCACATTTACATTGGTCACTATTTTACTCATATTGTATGTATGTATATTAAAATTGTGTATTATATGTGTACATGTATGTGTGTGTTTCAATACCTGGCACATAGAGGCTATTAAGGGCATTCAATAAATATTTGCTGAATGAAGTATCACCAAGGGTTAGGGTTCTTCAAAACATCCTGGAATACATATCAGAAAGCAGGATGGCCCTGAATATTACTGGGTTCATCGAAAGGCCTTTAGAACACCTGAAGTCCTGAGTTGCCACTTGGAAGACTGACCCTTTGAAAGTGCATGGGGCATAACCCTGTGATATGTTCCTGAAATGTCCATCAGACCCAATGCATCTCCTGGAGTCTTAAGATGACAACAAAAGGGAGAACCAGAGGTTTAAGAATTTTGTGTGACTCCTGGGAGTTGGGAGGACTGTTTTAGATATGGAATTCAGATGTTGCTGAGGAATCCAGCACCTACTGCGATGTACTGGGAAATCTATGTTAAGGATTTAGTGATGGTTAATTCTTTGTGTCAACCTGACTGGGCCATGGGGACCCAGAAATTTGGTTACACATTACTCTGGGTGTGTCTGTGAGGGTGTCTCTGGGTGAGATTAATATTTGAATTCGTAGGCTGAAGGAAGCAGCTTGCCTTCCTCAGTGTGGGTCTCATCCAATCAGTGGAAGGCCTGAATAGAACAAAAAGACCAAAGTAAGGGGGGAATCTTATAGCTTGACTGCATGAGCTGGGACACTGGCCTTTTCCAGCCCCCAGACTGGAACGGAAACATTGGCAATCCCCGGGTCTCAAGCCTGCTAGCCCTCGAATAGAAACTACACAGTGGGCTCTCCTTAGTCTTCAGCTTGCTGACTGCAGCAGATAGTGGGACTTGTTAACCTCCATAATCATATGAGCAAATTCCTCAAAGTCTCTTTCTTTTGATATATACGGTTGATATAGGGTATTGGTTCTGTGTCTCTGAACCCTAATACCAACCTCAGTTAGTGTGCGGTGGAGGAAGGGATGGAACTCTGAAAGTAAGGTTTCACTTGTCTCTATGAAGGGTCATACCAGTATTAAATTGTTAAGTATCTTGACTGTCAAATGGTGTCTTTTCTAGTTGTATATGCTATAGTACCTAAGACTGAACTTTTCACATAGTGGGCTTGTTCAATGGGAAGATTATTTCATAGTCCTTTCTGAAATAGTTTCAAATCAAAGAAAAAAATGAGAATCAATTATTAAAATACATCATACTAGAATTAAGGCTAAATTTTGCCCAAACAATTTTGTCCACCAAACATGTGCTAATGAATGCATGATGCCATCTACTGCACAGAATAATTTTATAAACCTCAAGAACCTGTCTCCAAATATATGAAAAATGGAAGGGATAGGGGAATTAGTTATAAGACATACCTTTTGCAACTGTTAATTAAAAAAATAACTTATTGTTTTAATCTAATGAATTAAACACCTCCAATATACTGAATTTTGTAAGGTTTGTTTTATTTTTTAATCCAATTTTAGAACATAAAGTGCTATTTACTATAAATTATTAAACTTTTAAAAATTCTGATTCCCACTATTTAAAAATTATTTGGATGCTTTATAATTTTTCACCCCAAAATACACTGTCTTTAAAATATATCTAAAGATGAGATCTTAACCTACTATTAACCATTTCGTTAACTAAAAACCTTAACTCTTTCCTGCACACACAGACCAAAACTACTTTGTGGTGAGACCAACGGCTAGATTTCACTGTTTTGATTCACATAAGTTACTTCACATGGGCTTGACTGGTTTGAAGAACTGACTATTTTTTAAACTGTTGAAAACTCCATCTAAATCTTCAACGGATGGGCTCTTAATAAAACAAAATAGTTCTATAACAAGAAAATAAGAATTTTCAAGTAAATTGAGTTTTTTCAATATTACAGTGCTTTCTTTTATGAGATTAAATAGCAACTATTAAAAGCCCAGAACTCTTCCCAATTTTAATTTTATTAAGTTTCTAGATCTCACTCACAGACTGAAATGATAGACACTTTCCTAACTCATCCATCCCTTTCTACTGCCCTTTGGTGTCTTTCTAGCTTTTTAATAGAGAGTAGTTTAAAAACATGCCCAAATTTGTAGATAAATTATCTATAATAATAAAAGAGTAATATGCCAATGAGACTGGAAGTCCTTCTGGACGACCTTCCTGACTAAGCCGGGGCTGCAAGGGCCGAGCACCTTGCATGAATTTCATGCATTGGGCCTCTAGTATTTAATAATTACTATAAACTTTTAAGAACATTTTATAAATATGAATAGGTAGAAATACCATAAGCATATCCAACTCAATACAACTAATTAAAACCATTTTTTCAGTACTAATGTTCTTGAGTTCAGAAGTAGCTTATTTATTTCACAACTAGGTATAACCTATAAGGAAGAAAAATGTATTCCCTTCCCTAAAATATCTCAGGACAAAAATATGTGGGAATTTTACAAACTCTAAAAACAACCAGAATAAGGCAACTTCTGTGGATGTGTGGTCCACCTATAGCAGGGGTGGGGAACATCCGGCCTGAGAAATCATTTGGTTTGGCCCTGCCAAGGCATTAGAGATGAATTAATTAAATGTTTGACCAAATATAGCAGGCTAACTTTTAAGTTGACAATTTTGTATAACCTGAGAATGATGTTATAAATACCCAAATGGCTCTTTGTAGAAAAAAGGTTTCCCAACCCTGACCTATTGGAACTGATCCAATTGGAAGAAAAAAACACTTGGCTGGGAAAAAAAAAACTAGGTTTAAAATCCATTTCCTAAGGAAATAATTCTTCAGATGAGTTCACCTATCTTGACATTATTCAATACTAACCTAGCAGTTCATCAGTCCAGTATTTCTTAAATGCTATTAAACTTTGTTCACTGAATACCTATTATATACCAGGACAATGACTTTTAGATAAATTTTTATTCCAAATAATAAGAGCAAATTCTTATTTATTTTCCAGATACTGTAATAAGTACATAATTTCTGCTAACTCATTCAATTCTCAAGCCAGCCCTGTGGAGTGGGCACAGAGAAGTAAAGTTATTGCTAAGGTCGCAATTAATATGTGATAAATACTGGGTGTTTCTCATTCAACACTAGTGTTCCATAAGAAAAAATTCGAACACTATTTGCCCATAGCACTGATATAGCAGCGCCTAACCTTTCTAATCCTTATATAAGCAATCTGAGTTCGAGAGGGAGCAGATTAAGAGAGGAAGCTATGGCATTATGTGAGCGGTGAAGCTACCCCCACTGTGGGAGAGGGAAAGAAACCCAAACCTGTGCTCAGCTTAGCAGCCACAGTGGGAGCAAGTGCAAAAGAAGCAGGAAATAGCTTTACCATCAGGAGGATCCCTATATCCCCAGCTCTCAGGGCTATAAAAGAGTTCTCTCTGGAGACAAGAAACCAGAACTGCCTTCTGCATGTGTGACAAGTGGGGTTTTCCTAGCAGCTGGAGGCAAAGGGCATTACAGTGTATATTCCAGGACCTAGGGCCCATTCATTGGGCACTTGCAGTGAGAATATAGAGCAGGGGTGGGAACCTCCAGCCTGCCTGCCGTATAAGGTCCATGAAATCATTTGGTCTGGCCCTGCAAGGTGGGACTTGAAATTTAATAAATCTAGGAGCTTTTCATAGGAACATAAATTTATATTAAGTGAATTATATTAAACGAATGATGTTCTAAATATCCAAATGGCTATTGGCAGAAAAAAGGTTCTCCACCCCTGCTTTAGATTGATAAATCTAAGTTCCAGGTGCTATACATAGAAATCATAACTTCTATGCTACCAATTATGTTATGATTAAGAAACTAAGTAAATATGTGACTTGAGAAAATATAACAATTTCTGCAGAATGACCATATTGGGGGCTAACAAAAATCTTTAAATTCTTTCCAACTAGGAAATCACTTAATTATATGAATTATTTCGAACCTGTGTGCAAGCTGTAAAAGCATTTTATCTTTATCATATGTTCATAGTCCGCTGCACAATAATTTCACCCATAGTTTTGCCCAACACTATACTTATTTCAGAATCCTTGAAAATATTTCAAATTTTCTTTTTTTCTTTAATTGAATATCTCATTTAATCATCATAATCACCTTTTGAAATAGATACGCTCAATATTTTCTTTTTATAGTTGAGGACACTGAGTCCCAGAACAATTAACTTGTTCAAAATTATACAGCTATTAAGTATTGGAGCTTTACAGTGCTTTTAATTAATCTTAAAATATTTGACAATAGTTATTATAGGTATTGGGCCCTTAAGGTTTTAAAAAACGTCACTTCAGGCCCTGGTTGGTGTGCTAAATGGTTGGAGCATCAGCCTGCGCACTGAAGGTTCTCGGGTTCAATTCTAGATCAAGGGCACGTATCTGGGTTTCAGGTTTGATCCCAGCCCTGGTCAGGGTGTGTGTGGGAGGTAACCGATTGATGTGTCTCTCTCACATCAATGTTTCTCTCTGTCTCTCTCTTTCCCTCCCCCAAACCTCCTAATAAGCGATGGAAAAAAAATATCCTCTGGTAAGGATTAAAAACAAAACAAGTCACTTCAGAATCTAAAATTTTTCAGACTAGAAATTCACAATGACTCGCCTTCATCAATTGTCATATTTGTATACATACCTCACTGAAAAGGCTTCCATTAACATATGAAATCCAGAGTTTCCAGAAATTAGGCAGCTGACTTAAAACAAGCTTGGTCAATTTTTCAACAAATGCTACCCGGTGGGGAGATTTGTATCTCCATGCTAAGGGGGAAAGAATAAAATACCATGACTATACTTTTGAAACAGGAATAAAAATCTGTTTAAACATACTTCCACTCCGCATCTAAAAATGTGCTCCACTTTGGCTGCAGAGCTTTAATATGCTGAAAGACCAATATTTTATTCTTCTGTCACACCACAACCGCCTGCCAGCACAGACAGCACACTCTCCGCAGAGGTCCCTGCTTTCTCATGGGGCATGGCAGGCAGGGGAAGGACATGCAGGTCAGGAGGACACAACAGGGAGGACTTCACAGAGGAAGTTGCTTTGGCTTTTCAACCTTGTTGTCTTTGGGATGTTATATTTCTCTTTAAAAAGTCATGCTTTTAAACAGCAAAGTAAGGCAAAGGCAGGGCTGGCCCACAACCAATATTTAAATTTGAAGCTAATATCAACTTATTAGAATGCCACCAGACACCCTATGTAGTGAAAATTCAGTAAGAAGTCAAATCATCACAAAGGAGCACATTCAAACACAATCATGTAATTAATAACTCCTCCCATAACAAAGACATGCAAGCAAATATAAAAATGTTGAAGCCTCTTGGTTTACATATAATTTAACGTGATGATTATAGTAAGTGGGGAATAAGGTCTTATAGATTTCTTATGGGAAGGGTAAGTCTGTGGGAATAAAAAGTAAAGTAGTAGTAATTTAGTGAGCATTAATCACTTCCCAGTCTCTCCCATCTTTCTATATCACGCTCTTGCCTGTTTCTTTTTCCCTCCACACCCTGTTCCCTGGGCCTGGGGTTCTGCTTCTGAGCCTCCAACAGGAGCAAGACAGAGGCATTTTCACTGTCCAATTTCACAACAATGATGAGGAGCGCTTCTGGAGTCAACTTCTAACTTTTACTCAGCAACTTCAAAGCAGGTTAAGAAAGGGAACTTTCATCCTCCATCAACTACTGGCTTGCTTTCAAAATACTCCCAGGCAAAGTGTTTTGTGGTTTGTTATTATCGATGCTATTCTAGTAGGAGAAGGGTGGATTTTATTTATTTTCCAATATTTAACAATTTTCTAAATAGACAATATATGGCGAGAAACGTTAAAAGGTATACAGTGAAGTCTACCACCTACCCTTGTCCCCCATTGTCCAGTTCACAACTCCAGCCATAAGAAATCACTGTTACTAGTTTTTTTGTGATTCTTTCTGAAATGTCTTTTATATACAAAGGCAAACAGAAATATGTATTCTCCCCCCACCCAAGTGAAAGCATACTAAAAACAAAGCTTTTTTTCATTTAACAGTGAATCCTAGATTCTTCTATATCCTCTCCCCCCTCCCCCCGTTACATAGTAGTTCATATTCTGGAAGTATCATAATTTACTAAGTACTACTAGTAAGTCCCCTCCTACTGGACAGGACTGTTCCAAATCTTTCCCAGTTAACATTAATGTTTCAACCAGTAAGGTATACCTCATCATTTAGGCATATGTGCAAGCACAGATGCTCCTTAACTTACGATGGGGTTACATCCCCTTAAACCCATTTTAAGTTGAAGATATCGTAAGTCGAAAATGCATTAAATACACCTAACCTAACAAATGTTAAAACTTAGTCTCACCTACGTGAAACGTGCTCAGAAGCCAATATCCAAAAAACAAAACAAAATGCTGGCAACATGGTATATTGTAGTGTTGGTTGTTTACTCTCATGACTGCCTGGATGACTGGGCGCTGCAGCTCACCCTGTTGCCAAGCATCACAAGACAGTATCAGACTGCACATTGCTAGCCCAGGGAAAAAAGCCAAAATTCAAAATTCGAAATATGGTTTCTACTGAATGTGTACTGCTCTCATACCATCGTAACGTTGAAATATTGTTTAGTTGAACCATCATTAACTAGGGGACTGTCTGCATAAGTATAGAATACATTCTCAGAAAAGGAACTGCTGGGTTCAAGGGTACACAGAGTTGTAGTTTCGATAGGTATTATTACATTGACCACTCTGGGGACTAGTTACACACCCATAAGAAACACATGCAAGTTACAGCTTCCTTATAACCTTAGCAATGAACAAATAGAACACATAAAACCCAAAACCATAAACACTGGTGGTTTTTGCGAAGCCAGCATCTCACTGTAGTGTTACAATGCCTTTTCAGTTTTTATTATGACTGAAGTTGAGTACCTACTCAGATATGCTTAAGAGCCATTCAAACTGCCTTTTTGTGGCCTGTAGAGTCTCTTTATTTATTGGGCATGTTAGTCTTTGGTCTATGTTAAGAGTTGTTGGGAATGCTTTATATATTCTGTTGTCACATATGGGAAAGGCATGGCTCCTTCCTTAGGGCACACTGTAAACCTGTACTTGTTCAACCGGCAAACTTTTACTGATTGTCACTGTGTGCTAATTCTGTAGCTGCACCCTGAGGTCTGTCCATGATGCTCACCAGGAATACTAAACAGCGCAGGCCTCCTACAATTACATGGACAGTCCTAATGGTAATGTGACAGGAGTTTAACCTGCCGTCATAAACAACTAGAAAATGGAGGGGGGGGTGGATTTATAAACAACTGTTTTGAGACACTGAACAACAGAAAAGGGAAACGGGTGGTGAGTCCACATTTGCCCTGGCTTTCTGCCTGCAGGCAATTTCTAGACAAGGTAAAGGGATGAGTAACCTAAACAAAGCTCAGTGGCCTTTCTGAGTTGGAAAGATGAATTTCAAGGAGGTGAATGGGAAATGCAGGGAAGAATTATGCAAAGTAGAAAAACCAAGCTCCAAAAATCTGCATAAGAGTCATCTTAAGTCTTTATTGAGTATTAGGTCATGCATACATAGTGTAAGATCAAGATTCCCAGAGCTCTTAGCCTGAAGGAACAATCCTCATTAATTACTTGGTTCATTCAGTGGCGATCCAAGAGATCATACCTCAGTAGTAGAGCTGAAGTTTCCCTAGAATGAAGGTAACTCTAGACTTGCTCTAGCAACTTACGGCAGGCCTTGAATGGGTCAAACTTACTGTAAGCAACTGGTAAAACCAAGTCCAGCATTCTTTAAAGCAAGGCAACAAAACCCTGACACTCAACATTAGATAGTCACAGAGTCTGGGAAACAATAAAAAAACTGAAACGATTAGCCATGCCGAAAGGCAAGGAAATGTGAACCACGACCAGAAACCAGAAGAAAAACTACTCAATAATAATAGATCCAGAAATAGTGGAGATGACAGAATTATCCAGTAATGGCAATATTAAAATATTAAATGAAAATAATGAAAGGGAAGATAGTTAAAAGAACCAAATGGAACTTCTAAAGATGAAAAATACAGTATGTGACATTTTTTAGGTTAAGACACTGCAGATAAAAGATTAAAGTAGTTGAAAGTTTAGCAACTGACACTATAAAGAAACACAGATGGGGAGTGAGGGACAGAGCCTGAGTGATCTATAGGGTAATCTACTGTCCTAACATACACATAACTGGAGTTTCAGAAAAGGAAGCAGACAGAAAAACATTTGAGGAAATTACAACCAAAATTTTTTAAAATTTGACAAAAATTTCCAGGATTTGATAAAATAGATCCAAGAAGCTTGACAAAACCCAGGCAGGATAAATTTGAACCGTTCAAGGTGATGTAATTCATTATAGTCAGTCTCAAGTATAATTTCTAATTTATTTAAGCCTGTTAGTATATCAACTGGTGGTGTGAATGACATTAACAGAGAAGGAGTGAGGTAAAGTGTGTAGACATGAAAAGGAAGGATTTTTTTAAAAACTGGTGGGCTGCACTCCAAGGTCAGGCTGTAGGTCTACATGTTTACAGGGCCACATTATAGCACAGCAGGCAGAAGCAAACAGTTCTCTTCTCCAATTGTTTGGTGCACAGGGTGGAGAATGCACACAGGATAAGAAGAATGAATATCAAATAGAAGCCCTTCATTTAGTGTAAGTGAATCATCTAATTTTAAGGTGTTCTTATAATGGCCATTTATTTAAATTTATTAATGAAATGTTAAAAAAAAATTCCCTACTTCAATACTTGTAAGAATAATATGAAATACTTCCAAATAAATTTTAGAGGCATTTGAATTTAATATAAAGGAAGGTATTTTTATTATTCTGTTTGGATTTTTTAATTTCTATTATTGAGGTTAGAAATACTAGTGATTAACAGCGTCTAATTGGCACACCACTACATTATAATCAATGTATTTTATATAAGTAAATAAACAATAGGTAAATATCAACATTACAAAATTAAAAAATGTAACATGGTTATAATTTGAGATACCTTATCTTATGAAAAAAATAGCAAATAATTTATGATTAATAATAAGTCCTTTCCAAACAAAAGTTTAAAATTCATTGAAAATATGTCTTTCTCTGTACTGACAACAGAAATTACTTTTGTTGCAAAATTAACCTTGAAATTCTCACAGAATTTTTTCTGTGGCATATTTTAAAAAATTAAACCACAGAAAATATAAAACTATACTTTTAATTAAATATGTTGAATAAATACTGAACTGTGGCGAATGACTTACTAAGAAATCAAATGGCATGTATTTAATGTACAATGTAATTACTGGGTAGTTACTTAATAAGTAGAAGAGACAATAGTTGATAATATTTAGAAATAGTAACAGAACTAGTTATAGAAATTTCCAAGAGAAAAATGTTTTAAATTAAACAAGTAGCAATTTAAAAGGCAAAGTGGGCATAGAGAGATATACTTACTGTCATCTCGACCAGACTGAAAGCTGCTGCCCCGCTTCAGTGATGCTGTCTGACTAAGATGGGCCAACACTGAGGGACGAACATCGCTATCCAGATCCACCATGGGACTGTGCAGGCCTGCGGTACCTGGAAGGGAGAGGGAACATTCCTTTAGGTTCTATGTGTTCATATTTAGTTGATTTAAAGAACTGCTTCTCTGAGTTATTTCTTGCTCACTTTTTCACTCTTTTAAATAAAGGATTTACTAAGTAAAATAAAAAAACATCTCCTCCAAGTAGCTTTTTAAAATCATTCTCACCATGATAGATTTGGAGGATCCAATCCATTACTTTGGCTTGACAGAGAAATGTAACAAATCATGGAGTGAAACTTATATATCATTTTAGAGTGAATGTTCAGTAAAACTGGGGAGAGAGATGTTCTAGGAACATTAACATCAGCAGGAGAAATCACTTTTTGAAAAACGACTTGGCACTTGGAAGTCACAGAGGTCTGACTTTTAATGGAACAGATTTATAACACAAATCTTTGGCTTCTCTCATAAATTTAAATCCCCTAATCCCATTTCTTTCTTTCTTTGGGATGTGGAATTTGCTTCCTTGTTTATATTCCTGATGGCAGCCAAACTAGTTTGGATCCTTTTCACCCCACACTACTAATATTCCAGAAGCCTAACGTCATTGTTGTCAAGAAATTATCTTTATTGTCTGGGAATAAATATTCCAAAATATCCCCAGAATCCCAAACCAAATTATCCTAAAAACCAGGAAACACTTTTTTCTAAATTGGGTATCAAGAGCTATTAGGATTGGAATCCCATGTTGGTAAATATGTTAGTAAGACATTCACTTAAAATGCTAAAATTTGCCTTTTAGTATGTATGTAAAGGTGCCTATGAGCTCCCTACTCTGAGCTCTTTGGCTGAGCATCTTCAAAACAAGCTGAATTCACTAAACACTTACAGAGTATTTACCATGCATAGAACTCTTAAATATTCTGCCTATGAAAATGCATTCCACATTTTTCTGCCTTATTTTCTATCCTCTCTACCTAAAAAGACTTACTCATTCCTCTTCCTTTAAAATGCTACTGCATGAAGCATTGCCACCTTCTTAGGGATAAGGATTAAATATTATATCTCTGTCTAGTCACTGGACCTTCTGCAATAACTCCCTCAATATATACTGAGTGACTGATACTAAATTAGTCAAATAAAAACCCTATCTTATTTTATAAGTTAATACTAAAAGCTTATAGATTTGTTTTCCAGTGTAAAAGATAAAACACATTTATAAAATAATAATTTTATGCCACTGGTAATGTTAGCTATTCAATAACACTGTGCAGTTATATATTAGACATCTCCTATGTACCAGGAACTATACAGACCCTGGGGATAAGATGATGAATAAAAAGATAGGCCCCTGCTCTCAACTTATTTAAATTCTGGTGGAGGCAGGAAAAAAAGCAATAAATAAATAAAATACAGTAAAAAGTGTACTGTTTCATGGGCTCCTCCTATCATGAGCCACTTAACATGATACAATGTGAAATTACAATACAATACAAATACAGTACTATCCTCACAAATTTTACCAGGTAGGTTTTTTAGAAATAGAAATTTATTGAACACCCATTGTGTTTCAACTCTGTGCTAAATGCTTTATTTATATGCATTTCTACTTTGGTAAACATATCTAATACAAGAAGACTTGTATAATTTAATATTAAGAAAACAAAATTAATGTAATTTAGAGTAAAAAAATACAAACAAGAAAAAAATACTTTTTAAATAACTGATACTTTCTACATTAAAGAAGAAATCATATAGTCACCACATAGTAGAATTCAGGAAGTTAATATCAAAATATCAATTTTTTGAAACACCCTCAAAGTATAAAGGGGCTTGAACTTAGTATCACATTCAACATTTATATAAAAATTTATAGAATATAAAAATGCATATTAAAAGGTGCAAGAAGAGTGCTTTAATTTAAAAAGTTACAATGTTACTCTTGAAGGTTTCAGGACTTTAAATTTTTTATTAAAAAGGAAAAGACTTCCTAGTTTCCTAAAAGTACACTATATACCATTCTCACAAAAAATACAATTATCATTGTTCAAGTAAATCCTCAGAAAAGGTTTTCTATATAACTGATGTATTTACAACTTTAATTTAAATAGTTTAAGATTAAGGTTATTTATGTAGCTGAATTTAAGTAACTAGAATTCTTAAACTGTTAGAGACTGATTTATCTTTCCCTGTATTAAGAATATGCTTTTCTTCTATTAGAAACCATAGCATAATTTTCTATGATATCAGGAAAAGAAAGATAACATGAACTAATTTATTAATTGGTGAAGTTGAATTACCAGCAAGTGTGTCACAGCAGCAGGAAGCTAGAACAGTAGTCTACCCTGAGAACTAACGAACATCTGGAACACATCTGCAAGATGTGTTTCTGCTGAGAGACCAGAAGAGAGCGCTTCAGCACTGCACACAAACACACACCCACCCAGCACACCAAACAGTGGGCATTAACTCAGAAATGTGTTTTACTCTGTACCATTTTGCATCTTCTACTGTCAAAAATAAAGGTCTTACGATGAGTTGTTTTACAGGAAATTAACAGAATTATCCTTTGAAGAGAAAATTAATGAAAATATTTTAAATTTTAGTAGTCAGAAAGCAAGTATATAAAAAAACTTTGAGGATTCTGAGATTTCTTTTAAATTTCTACCCCATAAAAGACTGAACAAATATGAAGTGGTTTTGATGAGAACAAAGCATTACTAAAAAGAACAAAAAAAGATGAAGAAAACATTTTCTGTAATAAAATCAGCAAAAGGTTTTAAAATCTTACAATAAATCATTTTATTTTCTTTTGACTGTTTAACCTCACAATATCATAGCAATATCTACTGATGTGTTTAAGAGAATATATATATTTATACAAAACATGTGGTTAAAAAGGAGAATAATTATCAAGTTTCATATGTCATGCTCTGATTTATGTGCAGATCATATGCAACTGAAAACATTATTACTCAGTATATTTTCCCTGAAGACCTTTGAGATCCAGCTGAGGACAGTATTCAACTGTACACACACACTTCAGTTTTTTCATTACAATATTAGCTTGCAATGGGACATTTTGTAGGTGACAGAGACTAAACTATTTGTAAAACTGCATCTGACTTTGTCTTTTGCAAGCTTAATATTGCATTAATGACTTATGAGAAATCATTATTTTCTTGACAGTAAATTTTCTCTAGAAATGAAATGTTCCTATGATGTTTTTCCTAGATGAAACATTTTTAAAAGCCTTTTACTAAATGGGATTACAGCCTCTCTGCCTTCATTTGTGCTAATACTAACCATTAATTGTTCCCTGTATTTGAAACTTAGGGCAGGGTTTAATTCTGCCCAAGATTCTCATGGCTATGCAACTCGTATGGGGTTTTGCAGCTAGCTTGAGTCATAATAGGCCTATGCTTTATCACCTGTAAAAATTAGGGCTTGAAACCATGCATATTTTAAAGTATCTTCTTAGTTATAAAATTCTGATTCTATTATATGAAGTTTAATTCTGAAACTGTAAATCACCACTGAGAACAAAATATGCTTATTCTGCTCACTATTGCTACAATTTAGGACACTGATTAGTGGTGTCATCTAAATGTATAAAAAATCTGCCTCTACACAGAGGGCATATGGGAAAATTTATTCTTAAAAGAAAAGCACATCAAGAAAATATTAAAGGCGACAAAAAAATAACAGTGAAACCTTTATCTGAATTTTACAATTTCATTGTGAATCTTACAGGTTAGATATTTCAAAGACACTAAGGAAAGTAACCAATAAATATACTCAGATAAATAAGTGCTTTTAAGATCGAAATTACTTGGCTATAACCTGTCAAAAGTTATCTGAGAGGAATAACTTTAGGGTAAAGACTACTTTAGAGACAAAACTGCACATAGGAGCACACCCAACAGTACGAAACCATCACTATAGTATTTGTATAAACAAAATTCTAGAACTGAATGTCCTTCAGGTGTAGCTCTATCTTCTAAATTCCACAAACCAGTGTTTGAGTTACAATTTTACCAATATATCAAAGAAAAGATAGGAATCTTACCTACAGATGCTTGGAAGAAGCATCTTCGAAGAAAAACTCCTTTAAACACTTAAAAGTTTTTAAAAACTAAGCTTCTTAATTACTGACAATCAAGAGGTCAATATTTTTATTCCCCAGTTAAATAAAGTTTCTATAACATGCTACCGGCATTCTTAAAAGAAACTCTTCCTAATTATGAATATACAGGACTAATTGAAAAGATTAAAAACAAAAAAAAATTAGAAAAATCATTTTTGGATATAATACATTTTGTTTTAATATGAGAAAAACAGAAAATTTCTTTCAGAAGTTGCAGAAGTTATTTTCTTCACAATGCTAATAAAACAATCCACCACTTCATTAAAAGAATAAAAGCTGCAGTGTGGAAATAAAAGTTTAAACTGCTTTATTTTCTAAGAGAAAATAAACTAATAATCTATTATAATTTGCTATTGAAAAACTGAAACATTTGCTATTTTTTCCCCTGCAACTGAGAGATTTCTACTAGATAAAAAAGTTTTCAGCTTTATGCTAATCTAATAGATCTAAAAAACTTAAGTGTTTACATTAAAACGCTGATTCTTACCAAAAACTCCTAACGACTTTAAGATGACTTTATAGAAAATGCTTATTATACCTCGTATTCCCTCAGACTTCCTGGAAACCTTATCATGTATCAGTCAAATCCTTTCAACTCAAGATGTGCAAGTTTTCCCTATTTTAAATGAAAAGCAGTTAGTATTTGTTTTAACAGACCCTATATAACATAAAGGGCAGAAGAGACCGTTCTTCAGGAAAGACTGCAAATGTGGAGCCAGGTGAATAAATTCACTGTATTTTTCTCATCCTTCGTGCCTCTTGCAAGTTTTCTCACAGGCAACAATAGTGTGGGGAACACTGATCTACAACCCTGACTCTCAGAAGGGCAGCTAACTTCCTTACTGCCCTTAAACACCTTTGAACACATTTTCCTGAGCACAGCGGGCCCTTGTCCCATGTGCAGCA